TTGGCCAAGATGTAGGCTTAAGTTCCTGAACCTATTCTAATCAGTGGCTCGCTCGCAACATGTTGTTCACAAATCACAACTATCACTACATAGCGGCTTCATCTTACTCCTAGTGCGGCGAGCATGTGCTCGATCGCACGAAGCACTAATTGATGTTAGATTGTCAGCATTTAAGTAGTTGGACGCTACTAGGAGCAAAGGGCATCGCTACTAGGAGCAAGGACGCTACTAGGGGCTCCTGGCCTTACTACTAGGAACAAGAAGCTATTAGGGGCTCCTGGCATCGCTACCAGGAGCAAGGACGCTACGAACGGCGCTTTTTCGCGAAGGTGGTCCCAACCGCGAAACGGATCATGGTCTCAACACCGACTGAACGGGGGGGGCCCGGAGCGAAGCGTGGGAGGCAGCTGTTCCATTTCATACCCTGCATGTTCAAAACGCAGTCTTCATGTCTATGATTTGGGTCCAAGAATGCTAGAATCTGCTAGACCACAATTAGAATTAACGTGAATCAACTGTGTCAAGACTCAAATTGCCGCAAGGATACCTGTTGCAAGGCCAGGACGCCCGTTGCTTTTCCCGCCTCGTTGGCTAGGCCCACACGGGCAGCGTCCACCACTGCTGGCGCAGAAGGCATGAAAGCCTCGACCTGCGAAAGGGTCACAAACGTCGAAAGCGAATCTTTTCAGAGAAGGATTCACAGATGGACATGAGGGACTGTGAGGTGTTGTTCCCCAAGCAATGCATGGGGTTGCTGGCTACTACCCCAGTAAAAAAGAAGCAGGCAGTGTCGCTGAACTCCAACAAGGCACTCTGACTTTGCTTCAAGCAAGCACTTTCAGCCGGTTTTGTCAGTGCTGTTAGCGGTTCAGCGTTCAACAGTCAAAGAGATGCATTCTCCCATGTGAAACCTCCCGAAGGAACAGTCGAAAAGCAATCAATCAACACCTGCAGGCAACTGCTAGTCACAAACATGGAAGTGGAAAACTACCTGTGTGTAGGGGCGTTCCATTTTTTCATGCAACTGCAAAATGCCACCAGTCTCATGTTCAGCCAGAGCTTTGTTTCTCAAGCTTGAAGGGGTCTGACCAGGTTGCGATTCAGGAGCTGTTCCGGCGGTCGTACTTGGACAGGCGTATGGAGCTGCATGGACATCTTCTTGCAGCTTTGCCACTTGCAGGCACAGTCAGAAGTGCGTTTGATCTGCTACTGCCTAGGAAGTCTCCTTCAGCCCGACACAGTCCATCTGCTTGGCAGCGCAGCCAGTTAGCAGCTAGCAACCGCAGTTTCCACCATGTGCATCAGTTGAATGAACTAATTTGGAGAACAAAGCCCGCCCACACCGAAGGCGCCGAGGCGCTTTGGAGGCTCGCACAAGCCGCAAGATAGCTGCTGGATTACTCCGCTTAATAAGCTTTAGCTTGGGGGGGCCCTCTCATGCTGTGAAACTGGTGTGCTTGTGAGGGCTTTTTGAATTATTGGCATCGTGGATGTGTTCGTCCGTGTCTCCTGCCCGACCGAGACAGACAGACTGACAGACCGAGACAGACACACCGAGACAGACAGACTGAGACAGACAAACGCCCACACTCCGTGCGGGCGGCTTCGAGCGCGAAGCGCTGTGAATCATCTCATGAACCTCCAAGGCGGACCACTTCTGCTGCTTCGTTGAATCGTCCAGTGCTGTGCAGCATGTGTCGAACATGGAAAACGCCTGCTGGCTGATCATCTTCTGAACCTCAAGTTCATTTTCAGAGAGGACAAACCAAAAAGCACGAAGCGAAATAGGACACCTCCCAGTGAAATCAAAGAAAGGAGAACAAACTAGTAACTAGATCTCACTAGTTGGGGGCTCTCCCCATGTCAGATCCAAATCTGGTCTCTTAGACGGCTTCAAAAGCGAGAAGGCAGAGTGGGGACCTCCAGACTGAGTGTGCCACCCAAGTGAGCTCACTCTGATCTGCACATAGCCTGAGAAAAACCGACTGAGGTAACCCAAATCGACAAAATCAACAATCAGACTCAGACTGACCTGGCGAAGCTGAGCAGCTGACTCTGCTGAAACTTGCTGGACAACTTCTTTCAGAAAAGCAAATGCACGACGGACCTGGAAAACACAACTGACAACTGTAGGGGTCCCAGGCTGTTCTTCTGTTTGAGTACATCAAACTACCTTGGCTGTTGTTCAAGTTCATTCCTCATAGTTTGTCACTCTTTTTTTCAGTGTGGCATCCATCGGGACACTAGACTTCAGTCCCAGCCACAGCCCTGCCCATTTGGACAGGACCAAAAAGTTTCAAGTCTTCGGCTGTAAAGCGGCACGTGCTCCGCAACATCCAAAAAGAAATGCTTGTGTACATGCTACATCCAGGTGGCACGCTCTTGTGGCGCCAAAAAATACATTGTCCTTAGTCATACAAGGGGCATATCTTCCAACCTGCGGCGTTGATGCTATGATCTGAGAGCCAGTAGATGTTGGTGTCTGGTGTAATTCCCTGCGGCCCCTCTTTTCCAGAGTAGGTCTTGCAATTCACAAGCAGCGAGTCATAAGCTTCTTCTGTGGAGAAGCTTTGCACCTGGATTGCCACTGCTGCTGTTACGTTGACCGCAATGATGCAAGCCTGAAAAGTGATTGGGTGCAAAGCCAAAGGTCAGCACTGTCAGCATTACGTTGAAAAGTTCTGCCCTCTCCAACCTGCAAAAAACACCTGTGTTTTGCTGTGAATGATCTTCACATTTCTGTCCCGCTTCAATGCGATCCAAGAAGCTTGCTTGGCAGAATAGTTTCCAGGGAAATTGGGACTCAGAATGCAATCTGAATCGTCCATTGTGCAGGGGCCTTGAAGAACTGTCCACATGGCTCCCCCAAAATCCGCTGTATCGGTGTCTAGATCTGAACGAATCAGGCCCTCCATGACATTGTGAATCCAATCAAGGGCGGAAGTGACACGGGCATAAACACCCGGAAAGTGTGCTAATCCGCATCCATCTCCCCAGGATGTAACACCCCGAAGCACAAAACGACCCGATTCTTCACAAATCAAAGGGCCGCCACTATCACCCTGACAGGTGTCGGTAATTCCTGCTTCAGAAATACCGTTGGCGCAAACCATAGCAGCCGTGATGGTTTCATTGGACTCGGCATAGTAGCGTTCACAGTCATTGTTGTCAACCAATTGCACCTCGATCGTCCCAGAACGCAAGAGGCACGACTAGAACATGTGATTTCAGGTGGTGACCTGTCCCTTCATCTTCCTGCTCCACCAGAAACAATATGACAAAAAGTCCCAACTGTGAACTGTTCAAAAAACTCAACACCAAACCCTGTTTTTATGCCATCCATTTCACTGCCGCAAGCCGCTGGTTTTTCACCGGAGAAAACACTTCGAGTGAACAGCCGGGGCCAAATCGTCGCCCAATTCTTCGAATCCGTCGCTTCGAACATCTAAGACTCCCACGGATGCTTCCTGCAGCACCTCTGGAGTGGGCCCTCGATTGCGATCAGGCGGCCGATCCGAATAGGTTTAGAGGGGTTGAAACCATGTCGGAAGCAGCTTGATGTGAAGCACCTCTCATCTCAACCTCATTTTGGGATCATCGTATTGACAGTCGTTGGTCCCTTCCTGTTTTGCCTTCTTCAAGAGTGGTACAAAATGGTACAAATGCTTCAGGTAGTGGTAGTGTACCCACGTTGTTTGCATTTCCTTCGAACAGCCCGTCTTTCAACTAAACAACTCAATCCGCAACAGGTCTTCTGGAGGCTCAAACCAAAGACATCTACTTCTGTTGCAAAAGTAGCCCTCTCTTGCCAAGGTTTGAGCACAGGACCCTGCAGGGCTCAGACTGATAGAGAAAAGGCTGTATCAAACACGCATAGTTGTCAAAACAGGTTTCCCTCATCATCTGCAATGTTTCAAGCGACACTTCCATACAATTCCTTTCAACATACGCTGCAAAGCGTCCGGAATGCATCAGTGTGCCCCAGCCAGTGATATTGCACTCCATGCCAGGCTTGTCAGCGCTGGTCGGCAAGCAGGCCACACCGATGCAGTCGCTCATCGGCATCTCTTTGTCCAACTCCTTACTTATGGCTCTGGTCAGACACCGGAAAACTATAAACCTCTGTTGGTTTGACATGTGGTCTGACATGGACAAAGGGAGACCCCGGCCATTGAAATCTATTGGCAGCGTTGCCTCTTTTTCAGGGGTCGTTGAGGTCTTCCTAGTTGAACACACACTCATGTGTTGGTTCTGTGTCTCAGTTGTCGGCAAGAAGCCAAGAGCGCAAAATCAAAGTCAGAGGATGCCTCCTTGCTATACAACGGATGGGTGAAAATCTGTCGAACTCGCCGTTCCACAGACATGCCACTTGCAGCTTCCTCATTCGAAAATTGCTTCCAGTCTCCCGCAACCACCCGTATTCTCCTCATTTTACACACGTTCATTCTCGTCAAGCAGTGCGCTGCTGTCAGGATCCATCCGGGCGCAATGAGCGTTCCACCACAAAATGGGACAGCAATTTTTGGATCGTGCTTGGATCGCAGACTGACCTGCCACCTCCAAACGCACTGTCCGGCATCCCGTCCATGCACAATGCGTGGAAGTCCCTTCTTCCTGTGCGGCTCTTTGCTGGAACAGCAAACGCGTTTTGAGGTTCCCACCAGAATCTTGAATCTTGAACCCAAAGCAGCAACTTTGCAAACCAGAATAGCCATTAAATTAGTGTGTACATGAAACTCTGGTCATCTTGCAGGTGCGTAACCATGACCATATAACTACCGGCAGGCACACATGACCACGTAACCTGTGTCCAAAGTTCTCAAAAACAACATCGTCCAAACATGGATGGTTGTAGGACACTCTTGTAGGACACTCTTGTCGGACATTCTTGTGGGACACTCTTGGCGAGACACTCTTGTGGGACACTCTTGTTCGTCACTCACTGACTGAAAAGCAGCCTTACTCACAAGAGTGCAAGATGTATTGTTCAAACGCACAGAACACATTACACTGTATTACTATCTGTATGAAAACTTAGCAGTTCCAACTACTGCTTTCATGCACATGGCATGATCAACGCAACTGTCAAGCAGCAACCTGCAAAGACTCCTGTATAGAAACAGCGTCCCTTACTTGATAGCACTACTGCATTAATCATTCACTCTTTGCATCTTTGTAGGTATTTGCTTCGATCAACAACCTCCACGGTGCCATGATTACTACATGTAGTCGAAAAATATTTAAAAGAATCCGGTTGAAAGACATTCTTCCGGGCAAAGCACATCCCAGTCCTTTGCCCCAAAAGTCCACATTGTTGGTAGTCCGGACTTGGTCTGCGTAAATGTCCCTCTTCGGCAACAGTCAGCCAGGCGAGCAATGCCAGCAAGAGGTATGGCATATGCCGAAACCCACCAGTGCCGAAACGGGAGCTGCTTTCGAGCCCCCGCTGAGTTCAGGAACGGACACCAGCTTTTGGCTGAAACGATGGGTTGATCAGAGCAGATTGTTTTCTGTCCCCGTGGTTGAGGGTAGTGAGGGTAGGTTCCCTCGAGACAGAACCAATGGGGCTCATCGGGTCCGGGCTCCTGGCACTTTGCTGCTTTGGAGTCACTGTGCGCATCTCTTCCAACTCACCCTTTGACGCAAAGAAAAGGTTGAGACATTCCAGATGCTTCCAAAGCACTTCAATACAAGTCCACATGATGCGCTGCACTATACACATTACATTCACATTATATACGTTCAGCGGTTTGAGACAATTTTCAACATTACACAGCCACAGGCGGTGTACAAACTGTCTGCCATGCAGCTGGGAAAGCTGGCCTCCAAAGTCTTCTCGGGTGGGACATCCAAACCTACAGGAAAAGAAAAGCATCAGTTGCCAAGTTGCAAGTTGAGGCCAGATTTTTGGGGCTCAACGAAGAGTGGATGCTTTCAAGACATCTTTGATCAAATGCTGGCCTACGCCACCCAACTTGCCCTCCATAAAGATCTCAAGGCAGCGATTGCGCAAAGCCCGCGAAACCTCGGTTGCTAGACACGTGCCGGTGTCAAAACGCGGCACGTAGAAGCGCTCGGCTCAGCGTGGTGACGAAAACTCCTGTTTGGGGCATCTGCCGTTGACGACGCTCCACCATGAGTCATGGTGAAAAAGACCCGAAAGTCTGGATGTGGCCTGAAGCAAACTGCTTGCTCAAACTGGATTCGCAGAAAGGAAAATAGAAAGAACTCTTGACAAGGCAGCAAAAAAAACAAAAACACGCGTACATGATGTACTCAAAAAAACATTGGTACGTTCTCACTGAAGCGGCAGCGGCCCAGCGAGCTCCGAGCTCACGACCACACAAGGCGCTCTTCTCCGGACTCTGTGAGCCTGACACCGTCTTTTTAGCGATTCTAGAATAAAAAAAACTAGTAGCGTCCTTGCTCCTAGTAGCGTTCTTGTTACTACTAGTAAGGCACTTGTTACTAGTAGCGATGCACTTGTTCCTAGTAGCGAACCTTGTTCCTACTAGATGAGTTTTAGCGTGGTATCCGCTCCCATCACACCAAGTTCCCTTTTTCTGCCCACCCTCATTTCTTTCCCTAATGTCCAATCTATGTGAGCTGAGAGCTTCACAGGAGAAATCCATTGGGCTCCAGCAATGAATTCAAGCGATCTAAGACCGCTGGAGCCGCCTAGCAATCAACCGAAGCAGTAGACAGGTCTGGTCTGAACTGGATGGAGCGTTTGGAAGACACTGCAAACACCTCCGTCCGAAGCAAAACGGGGGAACAACAGGTTGAGCTGGTGAAGCCAGTTGGTTTGGCCTGCTCTGCATGTGAAAGAAGAACCCAGCAGCCCTCTGTCATTGCAGTCACCAAAGGCCCATCAACCTCAGAAAGAAGCCCAACTATTGCTCGAAATGGCAAGCAGTGAAGTGTGTCTACACTTTGATGACAATTTTGTAGGTGCTCTGGTCTCATCAAATGTGTCCTTGGGCGTTGCTCGCCAGCTTCTGGTGCTAAGGATTGCTCCCATTCAAAACATCCGGCCGAACTCTTCCGTGACCTGCCACCGGTCGGCCCCACCCGACACGACCCGACCCCGTAGCTCCACGCGTCGAGCTCCACGCGTCGAGCTCCACGCGGCCGACCCCACGGCCGACCCCACGGCCGAGCACGGTGGCCTAGCGGTTTCAAGTTGAACCTCCAAGCGTTGCAGCCACTCCTGCCACTGTCACGTTGAAAAAGCCACCCATGTCACCTTGCTCCATGGCACGGTGTCTGAAGCCCAGGGTTTGTCTGAAGGATTTGTCTGTTGAACGAGGAGATCTACGGCTCATTTTGCCAAAACTGTGGCTGGAGGCCGAGGCAGGCAGTTGTATTATTGTAGTTCTCGTGATTATATATTATACTGTATTAAATTATATACATATATATATATATATAGAACTAGTTCTCGTTGAGTCAGCCTGTAGCAGTCCTGCTTGTCACCAGAGTGCCGCATACCACTTTGCAGCCTGGGCCGGGCGTTCACTGCAGCGTTCTCTGGGCCGGCAGCTGTGCCCAGGAGTGGTGGCAACGTTCACTGTATCCCTGGACCCGTTCTCTTGGAAAGATATTGCAGCCATGTAGAGCGAGTCTGCAAGTATGTGCCATTAGAAAACATCGTTTCACAGTGAAGATTGAATTTGAACTTGCCGTTTCTGACAATGAAAAGGCAAAACTGAAAACAGAGTTTCGACGTTTCGGAACGCCTTTTCTCCCTTGAGCCAAAACACGTCAAGAGTCACGTGTCTGCAGTACCCTAGC